ACCAAGAACCCCCCCCCCCCAAAACAGCAATACCAGCCCTACCTCCCCTGCCTGACTCCATCTGCTGCATCCCATCTCCGGTGACCCCTCTGGGTGGAAGAAGACCACTGAAGGCAACGGCGACACGTACCTTCTCTGGAGAAAAGGATGACCATCAGGATCACCAGCAAAACGAGCACTTTAATTCCCAGCGGCACGAAGATGAGGATGAGGAAGAAGGAGCTGTTGTACGCCTTGAACCTGTAGAAGTACACGGCGCCCTCTGCCCTCCCATGGCTGTTGAAACGCGGGACAGGGAGCGCAGCTCCTTGGTGACGCGGTGGCTCCCGCTGATGGTGGAGGTGAGGTTGCTGTGGGGGGGTCCCGTCCAGGTCAGGGTGGGTGCCGGCTCCCCCTCGGCGGTGCAGCGTGCCTGGAAGGCGCGGTCCCCGCTGGAGCTGACGCTGATGTTGATGATCCTGGGGGCAGCTGCAGAAATCACAACAGGGGAGGGAAAGCGCCTCAGGCTTCAAAGGCAGGGCTGAAGGGAAGCACCTGCAATGAACTCGTGGTCTTGGTGGACCCTCGTTGTGTTCTATCAGGTTAAGGCTGGGATGGAACCTCCTCTTCCTCATTTTCCTCAACGCTTTCTTTAGACTTCCCCACTCTGCCTGTGTTGGAAGGAGGAGCAAAGAGATTCACCCAGCAAAGAGATCCACCCAGCAAAGCCTGGGTGCAAGGCTGTGTGTTTTATTTGTTGGGTTTTTTTTTATCCCTGTAATGCCTTACACAGTTTTGGTGAACTTTGGCTGTTGGGACCTTCCATGTTGGCAGAGGCACTGTGCTGCAGCAGGGAAACTGTCTGTGAAGTTGAAGAATTGTCTGTGTTGCTTTCTGCACTTTGAAGACCATGAATTGCAGCCCAGTGCTGCCCACGACGTGGCCACAGGTGCAGCTGGTGACCTGTTTTGGACTGGCTGCATCTGCACGTGGTCCAGGACAAGGCATCCACAGTGCTCTCCTGCAGGTGTTTCATGGTTGTTCTGTGGCCTCTGACCTCCAGAGCATACGTGGGTGGATCTGCCTGGGTAAGCCCTTTGCTCAGTGCCTAAAATTTGCCAGATTTGGCAAATGACTGTCAGGGAACCATTTTTTTTGGATGTTGTGCTCCAACCCTTTAGTGACCACCCAACAGCTGGTGCAAGTTCCTGGTTGCTTAGGGGTAGCACACCAATACCAGGACAGGGCCACTGGGTTTGTATTGTGTGTTTGCAGCATGTGGGATTGTGTGACTGAATGAACAGTGGTGGAGATTATCTGGGGGATGCAAAACGTTAAGAGATGAGCTGTTGGACCTTGGTCTAGTCTGCTAAGGAAGCAAAGCTCATGTGGCCAAGGTTGTCTCACCCATTGATCCTCTCCTTTTGGGCCTGTTGGCACATTTAATGCATTTAGCTCCTAGAGGTGCTGTGAAAACTGCTAACTGAGTGTCCTTGTGGAGGGAAAGCAGGAGTTCAATATTGATGTCATTTTTTGTCAGGCTAGATAATTCATACACAGCTTGCAACCACGTGCAGCACATCTTCCCCCTTGTCTGTGTAAGGCAGGAGGAGTTGGGGCCTGGAGGGCTGATCCATAAGAAAGCTAGCTGTGTTAGTTGTGTCACGTGTCTGTTTTGGTGTTTAAATTAAGCTTTTAAGTATTATTTAACCCCTCCCATTCACAACTTCAGGGTCCATCCCCAAAGCAGAATGCAGCCTGAGTACCTTATCTGTTTACATCATCATTCCTCTGCTGTTAAAATCCAGGCAGCTCCTGAGAGGCAGATCTTGCTGCCATCCAGCCTTGGTCATGCTGGGTGGGTGGGTCCTTAGGTGCTTCTCCAAGTGAAAGGAGAGCCTTGACCATGCTCTGTGTTGGGGTGCTCAGGAGCTGCTCCAAGTGAAAGGAGAGCTTTGACTATGAAGAACTTCTCAAGAAGTTCTCAAGCTCATCTTCAGCCCTGCTATGGATGCCACAGCAGTTTCAGTTCACAAGCAAAATCACCCAACATGTGGCACCTTTGCATTCACAGTTAAGGTCTCAGTCTGCTCCTAAGTGTCTCCTAGTCCTCCCTTGATCCTCAAGCACCTTGGGAGATGGGATTAGCATCTGACATTTGTGGATCCAAGCTGTTTTTTTCCAGACTGTTTGCACTTAAAGGTTCCTAGTTTAGAGGAGTTTAGACCTGTGGCACATGGGTACCACATACCTTGTCCTTCCAACCCCTTGGTACCACCAAGGTACCTTCTCCTTCTCCTGCTTACCTATGCCAACATGTGCTCAGCACCTAGGCTCTCCAGTTTAGATTCTGGTGGAGGGGATGTCTTCAAACAGCCCCCTCCATGGGCTGCTGACCCCAGCTTGCCTGCACAGATCCTGTGCTTCAGGGACAAAGTGGGATGCCCGGGCTTGACTGGCTCTTACCCCAGCAGCCAGAGCCTGAGATCACCAGGTTGGATCCCATCCCCTTCCCTGCTCTGTGTCCATCACCTCCTAGCAGGGGACTGGAAGCCAATGGAAAGCCAACCCTTTGGAAGACTATCTCAGGTCAACTTTTGTTACCATCCCATCAACTTCCACATCTTGTAGCTCTCACTTCCCTACGGGTTGCTTTGCCTCCTTTGGCTCTCGTGCCCCCTTACCAATCAAATGCAGCTTTATCCCAT